ACAACTTTATAGCGATAATCCCTCGATGATATTTAAACGTTTACAAAGGACGACCGGATGCTTATTCGCCGACCTCTCAAAACCCTTCTCGCCTTCAATGCACTTTCTATGAAAATACAACGTGAAAAGTTTAATAAATTATACTATGTATACATTCAGAAATATATATAGATAAAAAAGGTCAAATCTATTTATATGCTTATAAATACATACGTAGTGCAACGTTATATTTTATAGAAATTTGTTTGCATCGAATATGTGGGACACACTTCATTAATGCATTAGATTCGTCTGTGAAGTATATGTAGTAAAAATTTTGCCTATAATTGTGTCGGTGCCAAACTTAATAGTAGCTTCATTAAAATGCAAGTAGTTTATGTAATGACGCTTTATTTTTATTGCGACTTTGACCATCTCTACCCAAAAATTGACGGAGGTGCAATTACTTATAGTGTGTCGAGTTTAATATGCTGCATTAAATACAATCTTTGAAATTAAAATAAAGCTTGTCAAAAACCGATCACATCGGCGATATTGCTTGTGATTTCTGTATGTAGACAATATTACGATAAAAAACCTGCAAAAATCGCGTTTATACCAGCGTGCGTTTGACCTCCAAATATATGAGTTTTCCACTGAAGTCGCATGGTAGACGGGCGGATTCAATATATCCGCATTTGAACTTTATGAGATTAACCTCATGATACATAGGCATATCCAACACCGATATATGGATATAAAGAGGCCAAATAGTTCTGCTGTGCAATGAATAAAACTTATTTGCCAAGGAACGGTAATTTTACATGTCTGTGATAGGATAAAGTTGAAGGCATTTCCAGCCTAAGCCTTTTTCGAGTAGAAATGCACCATTTAAGTTCGTCATATTAATTACAATACCAGAAATAACCTGTACAACATTCAAGGAGGCAAGGAACCAATTGTTGGGTTTTGATACAAACGTTAAATCTTTAAAGAAAAAGATGGAAGCAGAATAAGCTTGTTGTTAATTGCCTAAACATAACGCACTGCATCTTACTTCGTATTATTAATTAGAACTGTATCTTATACTGTGAGCGCACATTTCTGCTTCTAGTGGGCCCTATTAAATTTGTAATATTTATTAACAGATCGAACCACTTTAATTTTAGTGTGGGGGTATATTAATATTTCACGATAAAGAATGTTACGTCAAATATTTGCCATTACTGTGAGTGTTCCCGCCACGATAAATCACCAGAAGATTTCTGTCGCAAATTATAGATTTTTCATCAGGTAGTCTATTCTGATATCATGCGTCGATAGATGCAAAGAGTTTCAAAACAACTTTGTTTGACAGCCAAAATTTGCTGGTACGAATATTTTACAGGCGTTCATTTCTAATTTACGTTTTACTATATTACAATAAAATAACACCTCGCCGGTCATACAAGCATCTTCGCCGCTTGCTTGCACTTATTGAACTGCTCATCTTGTATCTAGTAAACGGTTTGCATTTCAAGCTTCGTAGAAGCTCACAGTTCGGTATTGTCACATCTGAGCATCTGTCTAGCCGTGCGACACTTATGACGTCTTGTACTCGCTCATATTCCAGCGTCAATTTGAACGAAATAAGCACGTACCTTCTCCATGAACACCCTTCTCCAAATTTTTGGAAGTTAGCGATACCAAGACCATTAAGAGAGGTTTTTAACCTAGACCTCCTTAGGTATCGCTATATGTATTCGACAATTGCTTTCGACTATCTTTCCATTCGCGTTCAAAATACTCTCTATTCCTTTTCATGCATTCATCAATAACGTGCTCCTGTTGTATACCAGTTCACGAGCCTGCATATAATTCATAACATACGTTGTTTTGACGTCAAGGCTCTAATTGTTTTAATTTTCTCAGGTCTGCATGGGATAAGGCAGAATGTCCCCCGCGAACAGATAATTTGATATGTCCAGGCTTTGAATGTTAAATCAATTCAAATCACAGTTACATTCAAATTAGAATCATTTGACGCGCAAAAGACTCATTCAAAGCATCAGCGTTAGCAAGTCAATACACGACTTATAACGTATTTACTTCCAGCTCACCGGGACGTGTCAAAGTTGTAAGAGTGTAAATGATCTTCTTTATGTTACTGTGCCTTTTATCTTAAGCTGGAGGTCCGGCGTGAATATCACTGCAATTCGCACTCCTAAAATATTGTTAGTGCATTCCATCGATGATCCGTATTGCAACCTTGCACGGCCACTGATGTCATCTTTCAATTTCTACTGAAAATTTTTTGTGATTTGGCATTTCAATGTGTGCCTTTTTCAGTAGAAGAACGATCGCACATGAGCAATTTGGTCGGCCATCTTCGGGCGACTGAGCATTTCATTTTTTCAACATAACCTAGTATTTGAAAATGAAAGGCCACCGCACAGCGAACATATGTCATAATTCTTCAAATCCAATCTATTACACAAGCCTATTGAGCTGTTGATCACCCCTCGCATCTGATCAAGTGGATACATATGATGATAAATCGAAACGACATATTTGTGAGAGCAGATGAAGAATTGCTTGTCGACTTGTAAATATCACTATTCAGTTGCCACTGTTCTCTCAAAGAGCGCGTAGCCACAAATGACTATCTACTTTCGCATTCTGAAGGTGTTCCATACAAGTGTTATTATGTCTGAATTAACGTACGTACTTGCAATCAAAAATGACTGCAAGTGAAAATGATTGAAGATGACAGAATCGATGTAGACGATGTAGAATTATGCTTCTCATGTTTATGAGCGAAAATTCACCTCTTTTTTATAACTCGCTTTATTTTTATAAGACAAGACGTCATCGTACCATCCGTTTTTTGAACACACATTGAAGCATCTTTTGCCACCAAAAGCTGTTTGTGGTACTACATCCATTCCAACATACCTATATGGGTACATATAGGTTCGCCCAGCACATATATTTATTTAACTACGTGATGTATTGACCCGATAACTTCGTCTCGGGCCCTTCGTGTGTTTACGGTCTAAAATGACCTAGCGTCTGAACAAACTTGGTGCACTCGACCAAATTAATCGGTGTCTGATTTAGTTTGACGAATGATCTATCTGTTTTACATCGATATGCATTTCCCTCCTAATTTAACATGAGCAATGCTTCAATATGCATCCGAAATGGGATGCCACAATAATTAACATTTAAAAGTCATTTGCCAACCACGTTTTACAACACGGTTCGACCGATTGAGCTCGTCATATACAAAACATTACCGATAGTGAACACGCTTGGTGAAAAACACGCCAGTCCATCCACAGCCTGTGTAATGGGTGTCTCTATGATATGTCGTTTACATTTAGAAGCGCCAATACATGAAGGTAGCTTTGCGCAGAATATTCCTATATAGAACATAATAAATTTGTACCCAATATTTTTGCTTTTTGGTTGATACAGGCCATCATAATAATCAACAATGCGCCGATCAATTATGGGCGCACGCAATGCGTATGTTGTAGATAGTTCTAAATGACTGTGCATTGAAATATAGTCAAGGCATCATTCAACAATTTATATACAATGATGAAATATGTTGAGCCAGTTCTTCTTCTACGTTAGACTACGTCTTTGTATTCTTGTTCGAAGATATTGTTTTCGACAGGCCTTCGAAGGCCCGAGGTTTATTTGCAAGACCTGTTGAAGGTTTGTTACGACCTCGCGTAATTAGATAATAAGTAACAGGTCCGACAGCTAGGACGAAGACGTGAAAGGTGACGGATGAGACGAGGAGAGAAGGTCGCCGCATCAGACCATCAGTAGACGATGGGACGGTCTTAGACGAACGACACATGGGATCAGCACAAGCATTGAGTGCGCCGGACGAACGCCGAGTACGACTTTGCCAGGTCAAGTTGCACTGTTGGTAAAGTACGTGATGTAGGGTTAAAAAACGAGAGTCGTCGTTACGGAGCACATTTTACATTTGTTTTCCAGATCCTCTGCACATATGCAGACTACAAGGCCTTACGGCTTATAATCATAGCTTGCCTTCTCCGCACGTATGTGTATTTGAAGTATCGAGTCATTTGCCCACACCGTTGTAAGTGTAGGTCGCGTTATGCTGTCGCAGTATAAGAATGTGTGTCATGTTGCAACATGCATACATGTTTCAAATGCTCATCAACCAACCGTTATTCTTTTTGTGACCATGATTATGTATCCTACATAACAACAGTAACATTTTGCATCCTTTCGTACAGTAGTAGACCAAATGATGATGGAACGAAGCCCAAAAAGGGTCCTCTTACCTTTTACGATATTTTATATTAGCTTGACGATGGACACGCGAGCTTGAAATAAGTATGGTTTGGCAACCTGAAAAATTAAAAACATGTCTAAAAGTGAAAAAAAAATCTTTTCGAAAGTAGACCGATACGTGCCACTGCGGGAATCAACTTTTCGTACAGCGGGGAAAATAGTATATAAACGTGTCGGGATTCTGCTAATGATGGTCGATCGGTTGCACGTGCCATAATGCATGCGATGCTCCAACGAGGCAATACATCCTAGTCTCGAGTCTTGTAAAGCTTGCACCAATCCATTGAGCTCGACGGTTTTTGTGTGGTAAAGGTGACTTTTTCCGATCAGTAGGAAGAACAATAGAAGTGTAGACCAAGTACGTACAAAGCAATGTTTTTTTGATGTCACCCTTGTTTATTTATTTTACATCAACGGTGGGTCCGTCTTCCTAAACATGCGGCATGAAAGTCATCCATGAACATGACAAAGCAACGGTTTCTTTTATCCCAAACAGCATGAATGGTGAACGGCATCAAGCAACTAGCAAAAGATGTGAAAGAGTCGCAAACATTTCAAGCCCAACGACTAATGCAACCTTCATGGCAACTGTATTGAGAATGGATGCAACGATGAAATGTAGACCGGCTTGTTCCAACGTGTGAGATGATCGACCTAAACGCTCGTTGTGGAAACGCGGATGCAAAGTAAAGCCGTCATACTCAATCCTCTTCTACAGGAGGAGAAGGAGATCGTGCAACTGGAGCAAATGGCCAAGCATTTTCCAAGGCGAGCATGTAGCGCGTGTCACAGATAGGCGGGGGCTTTGCTAATCCCCAGTTGACAGATTCGAGCGAATAATGGACATCTTCTGACAGCTGGTCCCACATGATTAGTGGCTGGGACTCACCAGCCAACTCTGTCAGGCCGAGCTTGCGGGTATTACCAGATTTCCCCAATTCGAGTTTGACGCTTGTCCCGTCCATAAACTTAGCATCAGGCGACCTTACTTTCGCGTATGTACGGTCTTTGTCTTCCCATACCGACACTGCCTTAATCGTCTGGTTTGCTACTGCAGGGTTATTGAGCCACACGACAACATGCTCCCAGTCAAAACGATCATCCTTATACCGGTAACTCGGGAAGTTCCAAGCGTAAATGATGACCCATATGCCCCGGTGCCAAGTTGGGCGCCCGTAGACTTGAGACTCGCTCTTAGACTCCTTGCATAAGCCATCAGAGATTCCCTTTATCTTCAGACCGGCAGTAGTAGCACCCGCTGCATTCACTGCAGGGAACGACTGGCATCCTTCAGACACGAGGAGCTGAGGTTTGAACTTGACGGCCGCCTTCTCGGATATAGATCTAGGCTCCGGCTGTGGAAATGGCTGCACTTGATCGAGGGCTACCGACTTTACATTCGGATCTTCGCCAATGTAGATGGATGAAGCGAGCATAGCGCTATACAAGATGGCATCAGTCTTCATGTCCGGTTGACGTTGTGTCTTGGAGTGGGCAAATTGCAGAATGAATGAAGGAGCAGCATAGCTGTGGGAATGTAGAAAAACGCAGGAGATCGGAAGCTAATCGCAAGTGATATGGTGATGCAGATGGAGCGCTAGCACACCAGAAGATTGAGCAGCATGTACGACGCAAGGGAAAGCCGATAAGAGCAACCGGACGACATCCTTGTTGTCAAAGAAGCGTTTTGGCCTCAAAGCAATTGTTGGTAACGGAAGTAATGTGCGATGTGACGATTGCTCATTCGCGACTAGACGATACGTAATGCTAGGGCCAACAAAAAGTTGTCGAGTCGAAGAATCTAGTAGGCTTCAAGGTAGCAGAAGAGATTGCGGACAAAGGACCTATAAATAATCCCTTTGCGCTGCGCCAAACATGTGTTAAGCTGCTACTCTTATCTTCTGGCGCCAACTACAGCTCCACATACACATGTGTTTGTCTTTGCCCGTTGAACCGGCTGGAATCCCATCATTGCCCGTGATGTGGGGTAGATCCTGTCCGTGCCGCAAGTGCAGCGGCTGCCTATCCGCCACGCTGGCATCACCGCCCGTAGCGGGGATAGGTGACGAGCACCGACCAAACATCAGGCATACGGTCTGCCCAGCGACGGCAGTGAATGCATGGAGCCGGTATGCTGCCAAAGACCCACGAACAGAGATTGGTCTGCGATATAACATAGCTGCCGACCACATGAAACGATACGGCTTTAGAATGGTTCGCAGCTGAACAGCGCGTGACCATACCTCGCAACAGTTGACGCTGTGCAAGTCGGTCGATACGTCGATGCGGCATCCTATGTTGCGGATAAAAACACTTTTTTCGTGTCTGAAGGAGGAAAGGTCACAGTGGTGTGCATGTAATTGGATCCGAAAAGAGAAGCTGTGCCGACGATCTGTCTTCGTGGAAAACGAAGCTACAAATAGGATACCGTGATCAAATTCTGCCTTCCTCGGCACAACATCCACGTGGCTTGGTGCAGTTTCTATTGATCTATCAACTAATGACTCGCGAAGTACAACAAATGCAATACATAGGTGCGTATCCCGCCAATGACCAAGCGTATGCCCAATAGTCGACAGTCCACTATGCATCCGACCAGATCCACGGCTATCGTTTACGTTAGAGAACACTTGCCTAAGTTAGTGACAAATACTTTCCAATTTAAGCTGTTCGAGCGCAACAAACTGAGACGGAGACCTTCTAAGAGCCAGTCATCTGTCCCCCTTACCTTAGACGGGAAATCCCCCATTGGTGAGGCAAGGTTCAAAGGGAAAAACTTTTTCTCCGCTGCACGTGCCACGGGAGGCAACGCAGCGTGCGACCTGAAAAGTAAGCAACCCCCCCGCGGTACGGGGAACATCGACAGAGATTGACGTTCCCATGCCTACGTTAGTCCCTGCTCTTCGCAAAGTGCCTCCCCTCGCGCTGATTCGTTCGCTGCGCGCGACACCCACTCCCACGAAGTGAAATCTTCTAAAAACGTGACGACCTGTTGAGATCCAGTGTACCAATCATTTATGTAGAGTTAGCACCAGGTTACGATACTCTTCGTCTCGTGGTGCGCCTGGGCACGTCTGCACTAGATTGTGCAATGGGATCGCCCCCTTCAGCAGAGCAAGCCGATCAGCACGGAAGCAGCCATGGATTACGTCGAGATGGCAAGTCTGCACTAGATTGTGCAATGGGATCGTCCCCTTCAGCAGAGCAAGTCGATCAGCACGGAAGTAGCCACGGATTACGTCGAGATGGCACGTTAGGACTTCTTAAGTGAAACAGGCCTCGTAGCATGCGTCCTCTGTCCCCTGAAGCAGATGGGAGCGCGACGCGCAGCCCAGCCCTACGATCAAGCATGCGCACACAGCTCGAATCCTATACTTGGTCAACAGTCATTAAAACGTAGTCTTTCGAGAGTGCCTCCCGTGACGTCTATGGTATCCAGCCATCAGAATGAGACACGTGGTAGGCGAAAGTTCGTGTCATGGTAAATGGCCGAGGTGGTTTCCACACAACAGACACCTTACAAGTGATAAATAGCTATAATAGACGATCTGTGTAACGGGGTTACACGTCGGCTGGTAGTCGACGATAGGTGTGGTGCACACAAGAGAGGGGGTACCCTATAAAGTAATTTTAGAACACATTGAGTGTATCAATTGTTGAAGACTGACGTCTGTCATCAATTGATTGCGAGATCTTTTAAGAGGTTATTTAGGGCAGGTTAAATACGTTGTTCTAAGGTGTTCTTTTAGGTTAATTAAAGAAATAAAAATTCAGTTCCCATTTTGATCAACATAAGACACGTGCTTTGCGAGGCGTCTTGATCGGAAGAGCTAGCGACGCCTGTAAAGGTAGCTGCTCTTGAGCACTCTGTGCTATGATTCTCTTGAATCGTTTGGTCCCCCTGGAACAGGGACCGTAAGCTCTCTGAGCTTGTTGACTCTCTGAGTCGGGTTCGTAGAACCAAAGTTGCTCGTAGAGCTGTTGACTCTTTGAGTCGGGTTCGTGGAACCAAAGTTGCTCGTAATAGCGTTGAGTCTTCATCTGACTTATGGAGCTGTGTAGCTCCGCTACACTTGGTAGCACTTGTAGCCAATCTACGCCTGATTCGGTAACGACTGACCCTCTGTAAGGATATAGCAATCCACACCCCTCTCTGAGGCCCAAAAGGCCGCGCTTGAGAAGCTCACCGCGGCCGTAGGCCCAGAGTATGTGACGTTTATAGCTGCACAAGGTCCCGATGTGCTCAATGCACGAGTCGAGACCTTCATGCAGTACGAAACGGCCCTTTTAATGCAGGTTCAATACCAGGTAGCGTCAGCTATGCCGACACGCTACGTGGCGATGCCAACAGAAGAGGTTAAGCCTCGTCCACTTCGGGTGGACGTTAAACATTACTCCGGGAAGGAGGGGGAAACTTGAACCTCCGGATCCGTGAGATTAAGATAGCCATGAGATCTAGCTTGATATCAATCGAGCATCAGCGAGTCTCGCTGGCCATCTCAAAGCTTGATGGAAGAGCTAGAGAATTGGCTTTGACGTGCGTCACGTCGGTCGACTTGATGTTTCCCACTTGGGATTCACTCAAGCTAGACCTATTGCGAGTTTTCTCGCCGCCTAACCAGGCCTATCGCGTGGGTTCACGCTTCTTGTCTACCCGTCAGGGTAAGAACGAGTTAACGGACTATGTCCAGGAGTTGAGAATTCTGATGGCTGCCATTCAGTCCGACCCTCTCCCTGAGACCGTCTACGAGACAGTCTTCATGGAAGGTATTCGCACTGGCATTGCCAGGACCAAGGTCTTGCGAGTCCATCCCTCGACGTTTGAGGAGGCTGTGAGCATCGCTCAGAATGCTGAGCATAACTTTAAGTCAGCAAGACTTGGTTGGAATGGGTACAACCCAAGCTATGCGAGGGCAACCTCAGCAAGTAGCTCAGCTTACTGTAATCCCGAACCGGTGGATCTCAGCTATGCTAAAGATGAAGGTGAAGATGAGCTTCATGTTGCCGAGCAACGACGGGGGTGAGACGCTGTTACATGTGCGGAGGCACTAAAAATTTGCGTCCCACTTGTCCTTTGCGTAAGCAACGACCGACTCCTACGGGTCGAAACCCCAGCCTCAACCAGAAACTTGGCATGAAACGGGGAAACATCGACACCCAGTAGGCGCGCGGCGCCCTACTGGGGTAGAACTGAGTTCTGTTGCTTCTCTCCGAGGTAGAGTAACACAGATCTTAGTCCCACAGAGCTCCGTGCCAGCAAGCACAGAGCGTGGATACAAGCCTGGCTTGTTAGTCGCCGAGGCGATATTTAAAGGATTTGAGAAGCACTGGTCGATATTAATCGATTCTAGGGCGTCATGCAACTATGCTAGACGCCGTTCCCTTAAGAGGAGTCAGCAATATGCTGAACCGCTCAAAGCGCACGACGGTTATTTCATCACTATTCGGTTAGCGACGGGTAGTCGCGTTTCTGTGCCTAAAGTTCCGTTGAACTTGGGCGTGAAGTTTTTGGACTTTGACAGTATCAAATGCTGTCTCGTCCTTGACTTGGATTCGAGATAAGATCTCATCCTAGGCATGGCATGGCTTGAACGCCATTAAATGTGGATCAATTGGAGGTCTAAGACCTTAGGCGCTACGCGCAATGTTCCTAGCGAAGCTTTGGAGAGTCATAAATCCACCTTTGCTAGGCACCATTAGCGCTATTGGCGCGAGTCATGGGCGGAAGATGTCAATGTGCTGGATATTGGTATGTCGGAGCTAACTAGCTCGAATGTCTATGACATGAATATGGAGCGGAGCTCTTCTAATGTGTTTGAAGAGAGTTGTACTCCGTTGAGTGATACTCGTTGTGATAATGGGTCGCTGCATGCGTCAAGCATGGTTGGCCTACGGGCGGGTTATACAGGAAGTAATTTCCATGATGTCAGTGCGGTGGCACGTGAAATTACACAGAGTGAGGGCGGCCGTGATGGCACCTCACTGAATGTCGGTAATCACATTGATGGCGAGAAGACAGAGTGTTCAGGGCTAGGCCCGAATGCTGTACGTGAAGTCGTCCGTGTAAATCAACTAGGTGAAGTGTTCGAATTACGTAACACTTCACCAGATGTCGTTCAAGACATGAGCTCTCGTCTAGAGCGTGCTAAGACAAATAGCAACAACGAGGACCCGACTATCCCGGTCTTTAGGAGGCGTACGGTTTCTGTGAGGTAACGATTCCAGCTTAGGGTGGCAACTATTAAGAGCCCAACGTCTAAGAAGTCACGAAGTGATAATAGTAATAATATTTTATATACACATGTCAATGGGTTGACTGGCCAGATCGATGGCAATATTAGTCTTGAGACTCTTTCATCTGTGGATACACTCTTTAAACTAGACGAAATGTCTGACGGCGAATTAAGCCAAGCCTTACAGGCAGGAGAATTATCCGAGTTAGTGGTCATTCGACCGGATAATAAGT